AAAAAAAAAAAAAAAAAAAAAAAACTTCTTTTTTTTTTTTGCCAAATTAAAGTCAACGATAACATCAGTGGATTCAGAAAGAAAAAAAAAACAGAAAGTCATGATGGTTGTTTGATACAGAAAAATTGACAACTGAATTACAAATTGACCAACTAATCGGCCAAAAAAAAAAAATTTTTTTTTTGTGTAAATAAAAAGTCTACGAGAAAAAATTAGTGTGTTCAAAAAAAAAACTAAAGAACTAAAAAAAAAGGTTTTTTGATGTTGTTTTATGAAACAGAATAAATGAGAAACTGAAAAATTTTTTTTGCTATTGATCAGTTAATTTCAAATTTTTTTTCTTCTTTTAATTACAATCTTCTTTTCTGTTTTCCTGTTTTCATTGCCTATTTATTTTTTGATGTGCTCTCCGTAATTTAAAACAATGTTTAATTTTTCCTACTGCTTTTTTCTTTTTTTTTTTTTTTTTTCAAAATTTTTTTTCAAATACTGATTGCTTAAAAATTGGTTTCTAAAACAGGTGTGAACCAAAATTTCTGTTTTCTTAATTGTGGTGAACTGATGTGAAACGAAACGAAACGAAAAAAAAACTGAACAGAAAATAAGCTGTTGCAAGAAAAACAATTTTAATCCATTTATACTCTCTCTCTCTGTGTGAACTGTAATTACCCAATTTGACCATCTGATAGAAGGAAGCAAAAGCTATTAAAAAAGTAGCAGCTTTTTTTTCCTTATTTACTTTATTCTGTCGTATTCTGTCCGATTACAGTTATTGTTGACCATTTACTCGTTGTCTTTTTTGTTGCATTATTAAATGTTTACTAAAGTTAAAGTTACTAAAGTTCTCGTAGTTAAAACAGCAATTTTTTTTTTTTCGGAAAACTGAAGTCTCTATTTATTGCTTTTCTTCTCATACAATAAAAGATTTTTGTTTTTTGTTTTCTGTTTATTCAGTATCTGAAATTATACTATATAAAACATTATTGAACTGTATAAAGCCTATATAAAAATTCTAAATTGTTGTTGTTAAAGACAGTAATGTACACTGTGAAACAAACTGTGTACATATCAAACTGCTACTGTTGAATTCTTCTTCTTAAGAACACTGATTTTCATAGAATTCTATCGTTTTAGCATTAAAAAAACTAAATGCAATTATATAGTGGAAAGGAAAAGTTTAAGTGTTTAAAAAATAAAACTTTTTTTTTTTTTTAATGACAGTACTTTGCAATAAAAATTGTACAACAAAAAAATTTTTTTTGAAAGTTTTATTCAAAAATGTTTATTTAACCAAACAATAAAAAAAAAAATGAGAAGAACAAAAAAATGAGAGCTTTCTTTCTTTTTTTTTTGAACTTAGTAAAAAAAAAAAGCAATAAAGAAGTTTTAAGGTGTCGTTTTTCAATCAAAAAATCTTTTTTTCTTCTTTTTCTGTTTAGTTGTTCTATTAAAATTGACTGAAAAAATGAA